TATTAATACCCAGTACATTATTATCCGTTAATCATAGCAAATCACTTATAGTATTTGTGAGATTCTACGAATGTAGTCCTCACATAAAAATGAGAATATATAGTAGATCAATTTATTTGACTAAGATAACTCTGATTTGCCAGTACAGATATTCAACAAGCTCTGTTTTTACATGTGCAAAAAGTTTAATAAACATTGAGTAAGCAATCCATCATCGAAAAATTGGTATTGTGTTATTCTGAATATGGGGTTCAAACTATTTCATTGTTTAGAGGGTTCACTACTTCTAAGCAATGCAATTCTTATTTTGTTAGTTTAAAGAAAGTCTATCAAATTTCTCTTTTGGAGTATTGATTATGTTGATGTGCATTTTAGAGTATTGTAGTTAACCACAAGACATTTGAGGTTTTATGGTTTTAGAGTATTTTAGTTTTTGTGTGCTAATGTCAATAGTTTAAATTTAATACATACTTGATGACATTTGTCAAAATGTCAATAGTTTAATCAATAAGACTATGCAGCCCCAACCACTTTTACCAGTATTTCATTTGCATGAACTATTGGCATTTTACATAATTTAAATTAATATTGAGTATGGAATCCATTGTTTTGGGTGGTATTTTAACAAAAACTTGTGCAGTGATCTTGGTAAAACAGTTCTCATAGTGAACAAAGGTGCATTTCAATGCATCAATGGATTGCTTGCTATTTTTCATTAGAAAGAATGTGTACTTGTATGATAACCTCTGCAGTTGGAGTATTGATAATGGTTGTCTGAGTTTTTGTGTAAGTCGAACCCCATAAATATGAGCTTTGTTGGTTAAGTTCATGCATGAAATGGATTTGCTTAAAAGATAAAAGTTTGTGCCCATAGGTGATTGGCCTTTTGTAGTTTTGTTGATAATTTACATGTTTGCAGTATGGAGTGTTTATATTTGTGGTTGTTGTGTATATGTGTGGAATAAATAGGAGAAGAAAGGGATACCACAAGAGAAGAAGGATGACCAGAAGGAGGTGGATGGTGCATTGATCAAAGCCATTGAGGCAGTGCCGGATTTGAAGACTTATTTGGGAGCAAGGTTCTCCCTCAAGGACGGCATGAAACCTCACCTGCTCGTCTTTTAAATGCAGTAGTGATTTATTTCTGTTTTTGTTTATTTCTGTTTCTGTGTTCTGTGATCTGATTTTGCCAGTGACACAAAACTGCTTCTTAATTTATAAAATTAAATCTGAGGTTCATAACTTTGCTGTCATGGTATCCCTTACCTTTGCCTGATATTATGCACTGTTTGGTGTTTTATGGATAAAATTAAATTTATTCTGTGTTGGACTCACCTAGCCCATTGACATAGGGGTCCTGCATCTCTAGAAGTGTGATCTGTGTTTTCCTGAATGCCCTTTAGCAGTGTAGCCTTTACAGCACCATGTGGCTGTGCCTTCCTGACTAGTTGATCATTGTAAATGGAAGTCGAACACACAAATGGCATGGTGCTGGATACTTATGTGATTAAGCCTTTTTTTTTTTTTTTTTGTAAAAGGTAAATGTGTATCAAGTGACAAAGATTAAGGGGTATACGGGTATACCTGTATACCCCTTTCTGCTGAAGCAAAACATTCCTTTGCTCAGCCATAGTGTACTACCATCCAAAAAACACAGCTTCCCAAGCGCAAAATAATCCCCAAGCACAAAATAATCCCAAGCCTAAAAGTCAATCATATCAGAGGGATCAATTCTTTTTTTTGCGAGGAGAGGGATCAATTCTAAACGGGAGAATTCCCTAGAAGCAAAACATATAGAAAGTGCAAAAATAGGACTACAGGAGTTAACTTGTAAAATTTCTCAAAAAATTCCCAGAATGTTTTTGGCTCTATTCTGGCACAACTCCCGCCGGTCACCGGAGCTACGCCGCTGGCCGCCTCTGCCGGACTGCCCCGTTACCAACGCCTTGCCCCGCCATTGACGGACTGCCCTGTTTGCTCATGGGAACTAGGGGGCAATAATTAATTAGAATAGGGGTTTCCACCGGCCGCTACTGCCACCGCCACCACTGGACTGTGGGGAAGATTAGGAATTAACTCCTATTTAGGGAAATGTGTTATGTTTTACTCTTATTGGGAGCAATTTCTTATTTTAAACTAAGCACGGTAAATAAGTAATCTAATTTGCAAAACAAGGCTTGGGATAGTAACAATCTTGTTAACAAAAATAAATTAATTTCTATAAATTAAGGGCGTTGCTTCGCACACCACCGAAATTGCTTAATCTAACCCTCAATAGACACATTTGTCCTTCTTAATTACTCCGTATATACTTCTTTGTATATACTACAAGAACTACTTCCTATACCTCTTTTTAAATGGGTAATGTATAAAAAAAATCTAATCCTTTTAAAAAATATTAAATAAATTTTAAATTGTGTGTTATTATTAAATAGGCAATAATGAATTAGAACAGGGGTATTAGGGGCATAAAATTAATGTTTACTCCTATTTGGGGAAGATTAGGAATTAACTCCTATTTAGGGAAATGTGTTATGTTTTACTCTTATTGGGAGCAATTTCTTATTTTAAACTAAGCACGGTAAATAAGTAATCTAATTTGCAAAACAAGGCTTGGGATAGTAACAATCTTGTTAACAAAAATAAATTAATTTCTATAAATTAAGAGCGTTGCTTCGCACACCACCGAAATTGCTTAATCTAACCCTCAATAGACACATTTGTCCTTCTTAATTACTCCGTATATACTTCTTTGTATACTACAAGAACTACTTCCTATACCTCTTTTTAAATGGGTAATGTATAAAAAAAATCTAATCCTTTTAAAAAATATTAAATAAATTTTAAATTGTGTGTTATTATTAAATAGGGAAAAGTACGGAAAAGTTACTTGTGGTTGAGCCTATTTTCAGATAGGGTCATGTGTTTCATTCTTTATCAAATTGGTTCATGTGTTTGAATTTCGTTATCACAAGAGGGTCATACCGTTATAAACGTCTGAAAATGACCGTTAAAAATAACTCTGATTTTCAAAAGTGCCCGGAAAATTAAAAGAAAAATACCGAAAGATGCGTCTCATCAAGATGACCTTCAAACCACCTTCGCTTTTGGATTTTCCAAATCTGTTTGATTTTTTTTTTTAAAATTACGTAGTATTTTGCTAATATCACTTTTTTGGTGGACTTTTCGGTGACAAGGGTGGCTGGAAACAAAAAAAAGCACGGCCTAGCGGTCGTCTTATTGAGGCGTCCCTTCCGGTATTTTTCTTTTAATTTTTCGGACACTTTTGAAAATCGAAGTTACTTTTAACGGTCTTTTTTAGAAGATTTTAACGGTGTGACCCTCTTGTGCTAACGGAATTCAAACACATGAACCACTTTAATAAAGAACGAAACACATGACCCTATCTGAAAACGGGCTCAACCAAAATTACCTTTTCCGTACTTTTCCCTATTAAATAAGTTATTATTTACTCCTATTTGCTTTCATACTTGCTTTCAATGATATATAAAAATTAAATAATTAAAAATATAAATATATTTTGATTTTTTTTAAAAAAAAATAGATATTACTTTCGTCCCAAATTGTTTTGCAAAGTAAATATTCTTTTATCAACCAGTAGTAAAGTTAAATTCTCCCTATTGATATTAAAATTTACAAAATTGCAAAATCCAAATTAAATTTGAATTTAAAAAATGATATTCTAATTAAGTGAATAAAATGAATCCGTGTGACTCAAAAATGTCAATTTTGCAACTCAATTTATGACGGAGGGAGCATAAAAATTGCATTAGCGATTTATTACATGTGGAGCACAATTGCCTCAGAGCCCATTTGGCGACTCTGTTTTTCGCCTTATCAGACTTATCAGCTAACTTTTTAACCAAACACATAATTTTTTATTTCGCACGTTGAATTGTGTAAAAAAAATGAGTTACTTTTTTTGCGGTATTGGCTGAGTTTACTATAAAAGACCATTTTAGCTATTTTCATATAATGTTTACTTTATTTTATTAATAAAATACTTCTTCCGTCATCGCAAAAAAAAAAAAAATCTCTTCCATACTTAAATAAGTGCAACGGTCAACTTTTCACAAAGTCTAGGAGTAACCACATCTCGCATCAACATTTGATTTGAGTTGATTCCATTATATTGCTCTTCATTAGAAGACAATACATCTGAAAATAATTGAATTGAAAAATATTATACGGAGTATTTACTTTTGTCTAATAAAGTCATTGAATAGAATAGATACTTGTCTAGATCGAAGCACAATTTCATGTTCTTTCTCCTTTTTATTGGGTCTCATTCTTCATTCGCCGATAGCTACTTCCTGGTCAGTTCTACTGATCGCTTTTCCAAAAAAAAATTTCCGTCGTTGCTTATGACCATGCGGTTTGAAAGGATATTCATTCGAAATTGAATGGTGGTCTACTATTTAATTAAAATTAAGAGTATTTTGGTAAAATTAAAGCGGGTGTAGTTCGTTGCCGTTGGAATTACCGCCTAAAAGTTCCTTGTGGTTCATTGTCGACATTACCTTGCCATTGTTCGTTGAGATTTCCTAGCCGTTCTTCGTAGTCGCTTACTCGCAGTTGTCTTTCCCGTTTAAGCTTTCTACATTTTTTTTTTCCAGTTGAGACGGTGAGGCCTTGCAATTTGAAAGGAAATCCGATTCAAATGAGTTGTGGTCTATTATGGAATTTAAAAGTATGGGCATTATGGTCAAAGCAGGAGTAGTTAAGTTTAAGTTTTATGCTAAGCTGTAATCCTAATTTTGGATAGTTATTATGATTAGGTCCCATTTGTAAAATTTTCCCTGCAAACTATGTGTACAGTAATACTCCGTATTTATGAATCTTACGAATTAGAAAAACAAAATCAGAATTAGTTCTACAAAAAACATATTCCAGGCCTGTTTTCTATAAAATCCGGCAGCAGACCCAGAGTAAGGATTCAACTATTACTTGTTCTTGGAGGAGCATAATCACCATTGAGATTTATATCAAAACACACATTTTTCATATGAAATGCAGTTGTTTCAATTAACAATCACAAATACAATTGCTCCAGTGGCTTTGTACAGAACTCACTTCGGTCATATTACAGCTATAACAATCGTCTACATTGTTATAATTATCACTCATCCATATGCTTTCTAACAAGACCAGAATAAAACAGCTTCCTTCTGTTTGGCATCATTATCCCAAACGGTTTCCTACACAAAGACAATTTCTGCTCTTGTTGATGAGTCAAGAATAACACATACCAGCTCCTCCATAATTGCACACTTCTCATGGGAGTCAAATTTTTTGTTAAGCCTAATAACCAACTTCTCACACGTTCGAAAGCACACAAGCAGTTCTTTGATAAAGAGCAGTTCAAACCTCAACCCTCTGAATAAGCTAAATTTTAAAGTATGCAGCCTGTTGTGAGTCTGATCTATGCCGCGAAGTTCTTCTAGAAGATCTGAAACCCCATCAATCCCCAAAGTCGGTTCTGAACCACCAAACTACAGAAAGTGATCCATGAAGTGGAAAGGGGAGACAATCAATTCAGTGATCATACGAAACATTGCATCTCAGAACACCACAAGCAATGGTAGCAGATCAAAATTTTCACAATAAAAACTTACAAATAAGAATTACCTGACAACATATATCAAGTTTGCATAATTTTGGGCACCTCCACAGCAACTTAATGAACTTGGAATTAATATAATAAAACTTATAACATAAACCTGAAAACTCCAGGTATTCCACATTCAATGCTAGCAGTTTTGGCCTCATTTTGCAAATATAATCAACAAATCCCTTGCGAATAATTAAAACGAAGTTAGAACAGTCCCAATAAATAAATTAGAGTCCACATAAAGGAATAACTAATAATATACCTCAATGGAATCAGAGGACAATTGGAGAGTGTGTATAGATGTCAGATCAAAGTTCATTGGGAGAAAACCATTGCTCAATTTGTTTTCTCCCTTTTCAGTTGCACTTCCGTTGTCGTTGCCATCATTATCAACTTCACCATCTCTTTCATCATCATCTCCATCATCATCATCATCATCATCATCATCATCATTACATCCTGCGATTGATAAGCTACCCAGTTTTGGGGCAGTCATGTTAAAATGGGAGATGCCATAACATTGGTCATATGACACACTTTCAAGCATAGGAAGATTAACGGCATGAAGATGATGGTTTCTAGCACCGAAGCGAACGCAACTAAAGCAAAGCGAAGTCACATTGGGAAATATGAGAGGAGCATTAATGGGTTCAATGTTTACTCCAAAAAGATCCAGCGTCTTTAGAGTACAGCATGAAAAGATGCAAGAAGGGAGCCTATATTCCAGAAAAGCTTCCCAATTTAATTCAATGCCGATTGCATCAATTCCTTTGTGGGTGACCAAAAGGAACAACTCATCAAACTCAGATTTGTATACTTTCTCAGTTGTGTAAATGGAGAACTTCTGAATAGGCCCAATGTGTTGCTTGAGAACTTGGTTGATTACTTTAAGATAAGGTGTACGATCATTGTACATGGAAATCCAATAGTCCCAGTCAAACTCGAGACATGAAAGCTCGTACCAAGCATCTCTCCAATATGTGGACAAAACAGCAGTTCTAGCAGCTTCTACGATTGGCAATAATCCCAAAACCTTGTCAAGTATACCTGCAGGCAGTTCCCTGATTCTATCCCTCTGATCCATAATCTAGAGAGCTTTAGGATACCCAATTCAAGCAGAATAAACTCATAAGTAAAACATAAAGCTAAAAACGGATTAACTTGGCTATAATAGTAAACAAATTGAAAAACTCAATTTTAGGAACAAAAGAGGCCAATGATGAATATGGACATCATACTTGGCAGAGACTGAAAGCATAGCAGTAAACAAACAAGAAAAGATTGAAGCTATTAAAAATACATACTCCGTATTAAAAGAACTATTAAAAATACATATTAGCAGTATCACTAAATAAAATTGAAGCTAACAATATATCCAAAACAAATAGGGGCTAGTGAGCTACTGCTCTCAAAGGGCTTAAAGGAACACAACAAAATTGGTTTGAATGTAGTTCCAAGAAGGGCTACTGTTTTCTAACGGGAAAAGTGATCCAGCAAGGGTTATTTAAAAAAACTTTCAATGAAGGACTGTTTTAAGCATGAAGTCAAACTTAAATGGAATAATTTCCTTCTTCTTCTATGTTCAGTAGGATAGAAAGGAAAACCCAACATAATTTAAATTCGGAAATTGATGTGATACCTTTAGCTAGAAGTGTGTTGTTTTACCATTACCAACCACTGAATCATAATTACATTTCCATAAACAGTATGTCATCACTCATTAATAGAAACCTAAGAACCAGATTAAAAGATGTAATCAAATTCTACTTCCATATTTCAAACCTAGACCATAAAGCAATGAAAAAAAAGATGTAATAAAACACTCCATATGCTTCTGTATGACCATCCCCCCTAATCTTCTAGCTTGAAACATAAGTCCTAAATTCAGGATTACTTGCTTTCAATAGTGATTTCAAAATTATTTGTGTGAGGTAAAAATGAGTCTTTACCGAACCAACCAATCTGTTTCACATCCTGGTAAAAGTCCCTCACTCCCTCCCAATCTGTGAAGAAGCCTCAGAAAAACGTGGAGCCTTATGTCGATGTCTGCTGTTCCAGTGTTCGCAAATGTGCCCTAGGCGTTGTCCGTTGTTGCCGTTCTCGATCCAGAGTGTACTGAGTGCGGTGCGATTACTTATAGACAAACTCACAAACAATTGTTTCTTTAATCAAATTCATGCTAAATTGGTCAGATTACAATGCGTTTTTCAGAGCTTGTTTGTTAGAATCCAGGATAGCAAACTGATTTAATAGAACAGTATTTTTCATCACACACAGAAACATTTGAAAACAATTGTTCAGTTAAAACTTTAATGTAGGACCCCCAATATAATACATACTCCGTATATAGCTAGAAGAAAACCATAAAACAAACAATAGCAGCACTGGATTTTTTTTTATATAAACCATGTCGATGTGAAAAGTAAGTATAAATTTATGAAACAGATCATGCTCAACTGGTTAAACCTAGTGAAAATTTGGTTTTAACCATGTATCCTGAATTAGTCATATTAGGTTGCTGCAATTAAGAGCCCGTTTGGTAGCACCAAAATCGGCTGTTTTGGCTGATTCTGCTGAAATTTATGATATTCTGGCTGGAGTGGCTGTTTTGGCTGATTCTGCTGATTTAAGAAAAAAAATATTTTAAAAATATATTTTATTAATAAATTAAAGAAAAAATTATATGTAAAAATAGCTAAAATGGTCCTCTACAGTAACTTCAGCCAATACAGCCAGAAAAGTAACTTCAACCTTACTTTTTCGGCTTATTACACAATCCAGCGCGCGAAAGTAAAAATTACGTGTTTGGTGAAAAAGCTGGCTGATAAGCCTGATAAGCCGAAAACAGAGTTCTCCAAACGGGCTCTAAATTGAAAAGTAAAGTGACTACATATGGAGTACCTTGCAATCTGCCACTTGAAAGTGAGCCAATTAGATGTAGTCCAAACCAATATTCAGCAGCACCTTGCAATCTTCCGGTTGAAATTGACCAAATCAGATGCAGTCCAAAGCATTTTCATGCATATAAGAACAAAGAATATTTTTTAGAAATTAGATAACTATCAACTCCTGTTGGTCTCTCCCTGAAGTAAAACTGTAAAAGATTTAAGTCATGAATCAACAATGACTAAATTTGACATTTCATAAGAAAATTGGTGCTCCAATTTCAAATTTGGATATAAAACATGTAACTAAATGTCATTCAAATCAGAAAGAGGTCAACTATCGATGTTTTTTTTATTCAAATTCATGCTCAATTGGTCAGATTTTAATGCGTTTTTCAATGCTTCTTTGTAAGAATCCAGCATAGCAAACTGATTCAATAGAAGAATAGAACTATATTTTTGCGTCACACACAAAAATCTGAAAACAATTGTTAACAGTTCAGCAGATAACAACACAAATGCACATACTGTTCATTGTCTTCTCTTTTCAGCCTTCGTGTGATTCTTCATTGAATGTTTTGCCTCAACTTTTCTATAAAAAAGTAGACAAAATTTCAAAGAAGGCGAGAATGTTCAGAAATCTTAGGCAGAATTGGGAGAATGGCGAGAAAGTTCACCAATCGAAGTATCGAACCATATAAAATTTCAATTAAAAACTGCGCCCCACGAGTCGCTAGTCGAATCGGGAAAACTTCAATTGAGCGCGCCACGTATACCGTACCGCCGGCTACTGCCGTATACCGTAATTTAAATGAAAATCAAGGTTTATGCTAAATGAGTAAGGAGCTTCTTCGCGCGCCTCAGCTTGTGCTTAGCGCACCTCTTTTTGGTTTTGATCGGACAATTTTGTCCAATTTCATTTCTTTTGTTCCGCCAACTTTTTTTCCGTATGGAGCAGCACATACTTTGTACGCAGTATATGATAATACCCACTTTGTACGTGCTTTCACTAATTTTTTGCAATGGCACCTGGTTCACTTTACAGTTTACACCTATTGAGATATTTTATATAAATATATTTATTCTCCTATCCTTGTATACCAACGGTAGCTTTGTATGTTTAGCAAGTGTATAATTCTATTAAAGGTTTAGCTACTTTATTGGAGATAAATTAGGAATCCTGGTTGTACATATCTCGGCACTTTGCCTTTGTAAACACAGAGACTTCGATCTGAATATCGTGCCATGGCTTCCGCTACTAGTGAATCCTGGTTGCTTGGCGCACCCCTAATTTTACTTAATCTAACCTTGATCAGACCAATTTGTCCTCTTGCATATACTCTATAAGCCGTATTCCTTAACTAAAATTGCCATCTTTCATAGTTCAAACCTTCATTAGGCCATAGACTATAATTAAATTGCCATCTTTCACGGTTCTCAATCCAAATAATTATCAATTTCTTTCCAAAACTTATTAAAAATAAAAAGAAATAAAATTAATTTAAACATTTTAACTTTTAAATTTTTTTTTGAATGGTCATTTTATATATGAATATCTAATTGCAAATTTTAAGTTACTAACATTTTATTTCAAACCGCTAATGAAAGTGGTTAGTTAAAAAGTTTAATAGAATTCGCTAATATCTATTTGTTGATTCAATCGGCTATGAGCTAGCAGACAACAAATATTATGAAACATGATCATTGACATTTTTAGACCTCCACTGTGATGACAAAATCAAAGTAAAAGGACTGCAAATGTCAATTTCACAATATTTAGAATATGAAATGTCTGAAATTATAAAGTCAGGGATCGAAAGTTTTGTCACTCACAAAAAATTGACCAATTTGTCACTAGAGCTTCTTTTTTCAGCAATATGTCTCAAGTGGTTATTTTACCAATCTGTGAGATGACCCTCTTTTTTTACCAATTTCGTAATTTGGCCGATTTTCCGCCGCCCCTATCAATAAGGCGCTGAAGCACGATTGAATCTGTAAAATTTATCCAAAAGTTGTCTGGTATGTATTAGGATGTTTTTACTTGGACTATAATTTATCCCAGACCAGACCAGATCAGATCAGACCAGACTTCGGTAGTTACAAAAATACAAAGAAATCAGACCAGATTAGATCAGATCAGACCAGACCAGACGAGTAAAAACATCCTTATTGATTTTAATATAAAAGTCACTATATAATTAGAAAGAAAGAAACAAAGTATAAAAAAGATTATTATTAAGTAAAAAAAGAATAATGCGGCATGACCAGGTAAATGAGTCTGGACTCTGGAGTAACTAATGTTTACAGAGTAGTAAAGTACAGAGTGCTTCATGCCTTCATAGGACACATTCGTCCATTCCTTGAGAAAAGTGGGTGCGCCTAGCACATTTGTTGGTGCGCGGAGAAGGCACGTTAGCAAGTGTATAATTCTATTAAAGGTTTAGCTACTTTATTGGAGATAAATTAGGAATCCTGGTTGTACATATCTCGGCACTTTGCCTTTGTAAACACAGAGACTTCAATCTGAATATCGTGCCATGGCTTCCGCTACTAGTGAGATTATCTGACTAAAAGGGCTTTTACGAAGCTTATGGGTTTTACATTCATCTCCTGTCTCCTTATATTGTGATAGTCAGGCTGCACTTCACATTGCTAATAATCCTGTGTTCCACGAATGCACGAAGCATATTGAAATAGACTGTCACTTTATTCGCGACGAGATTCTTCGCCACACGATTGCTCCTGCCTATACTCCCACTTCTTTGCAGCTAGCTGATATACTCACTAAAGCTCTTGGCCCTCTCTCTTTTCGTTCCATACTTGGCAAGTTGGGCATTTGTGACCTCCATGCTCCAACTTGAGGGGGGTATTGAGATATTTTATATAAATATATTTATTCTACTATCCTTGTATACCAACCGTAGCTTTGTATGTTTAGCAAGTGTATAATTCTATTAAAGGTTTAGCTACTTTATTGGAGATAAATTAAGAATCCTGGTTGTACATATCTCGGCACTTTGCCTTTGTAAACACAGAGACTTCGATCTCAATAATACACACTTCGTATTTCTCCAATAACACCACTTTGTACCTAATGCTCTAAATCATATTTTTCTTTTTTTCTTTTCTTAATTCTTATGAGCCACTCTAGCTAACACAAATACACAATAACACGTATTGCTAAGATTTTTTGGAGAATTGTACCTTCGTTTTACTGTTACATTAATATAGATTTGTGTTTTTCCATGTTTTTCAATACTAAAAGTACTATCGTAAATAAAAATAGCCCATAACTAATTTTTTTCCCATGTTTAAACTTGTGTGTATATATTTCCACTTTGACTTATTTCAATATGAGACCAATGAGACAACACAATATTCGATTACAATAATAGTAAATCACACATGTGTTAAATAGAGCCCGTTTGGTAACGCTCATTTTTTACTAATCAGTCTTATCAGTCAACTTTTATCAAACACATTGTTTTTTTACGCGCTGAAACGTGTAATAATAAGAATAAATAAGGTTGGAGTAACTTTTGTGTCTGAATTGGCTGAAGTTATTGTGGATGATCATTTTAGCTATTTTTCATATAATTTTTTCTTTATTTTATTAGATATTTAGTTATAATTCAGCATGTTTAGCCGCTTCAACCATAATTTCATCAATTTCAATAGATTCAGGCAATTCACTCAATTTCAGTGTTACCAAATGGTGTTCTACGTTGGACTAGATCAAACCACACCTCAGACTAAAACTGACCTAAATGTTTTGAGTGTTTCACATTATTTAGAGCCTGTTTGGTAACCCCATTTTCAGCTTATCAGCATTATCAACCAACATTTTATCAAACATGTAACTTTTAAATTCAAAATAAGTAAGACCAAAGTTACTTTTCTGACTGAATTGGTTGAAGTTATTGTAAAGTACCATTTCAACTATTTTTCATATAATTTTTTCTTTATTTTAAACTAAATATAATTTTTCATATTCAACATATTCAACCAACTTCAGTGTTAACTTTGCCAACTTTTCTGTTTTGGTTGTCCCAAAAGCTTTGTCGCTTTCCCTTCTAATCAATTAATTTGTGGCTACTGTTATTTCTCTCCTCTGCACATATCCATACCACACAGTTTTTACTTTATTATTTTACTTGCCGGTCAAATTTGGCAAACCTTTAAGGGACGGAGGGAGTAATATTTTTTGTCCTCTTAATCTCAAGAAAAAAATCGAAAATTCTTTTGAACACTTCTATAATATATTTATGATTAATAAAAAGCAATTACACAAAATACAGTTTAATTTTCAAAATAAATTAATAATTTTTAGAAGTTTCATTGATTTTTAAGCTCGATGAAATCCAGATAATATCCCATACATTAAAATATTTGAAAAAAAAAATTAAAAAGACTGAATTTTAGAAATATTAGGCCATAAAAGATGTGTGTAGCTTGAGTACGTGTCATACACAATTAAAAACAAAATATTATTTTTAGGCTTTCTTGCACGTTATAGATCAAGCAGCAATGTTTTGATGTTTACTACGGAGTAAAAAACAAGATAAAGGATCAATGTGTCCATAAAAGTTAGATTAAGCAAATTAGGGGGTGCGTGAAGCAACCCCCAATGAGTATTGTTGTGTTGTATTGTTAATGAGTGATTATCCAATTTTATTGAGTATTGAGAGTCTAATAATGAGTATCATGTTATTAAAAAAGCTGATATCACAACTAAAAAATGATGGCATTTTCGTAATTTCAATGAAAATCATTGTTTTTGTTAGATGACCATTAGTACACTTTTCATGAGCATCTGATGTATTCTACTGAGTATTAAGAGTCTAACAATGAGCATCGTGATTTCTTCTTCATATCTTGTAATTCACTTTCTTTTTCTTATTTTTTCTTTTATAAAAACTTATTAAGATACATCTATAATGAACTTCTATAAATTAAACTTCAATATGCAAATTTAATGCAATATGGCACTTTTGATATATGCATTAATATGTCATTTTAAAAATGAGCATAGTATCAGTATCAAATGAACATACTCAACTTTGTTAGTTGGACGTCACGACATTTTCATTGAGCATCAAACTTTCTTATTGAGATGAAAATAATGCTTTCTGTTAAATGAGCATTAATGAACTTTTGATTAGCACTAGACCAATTCTGTTGAGTATTAGGAGTCTAATATTGAACATCACAATCTCTGCTTCATATCTTCTAATTCACCTTCTTTTTATATTTTTCTTTTAATGAAACGTATTAAATTATATATACAATCAATTTATATGAAGTTCAATATGTGAATCTAATGCACTACGATACTTTTGAAATATACATTGATATGACATTTTAAAAATGAGTATAACACCAGTATTGATTGAGCATATGTAGCTTACAAAATAAGCATTAACATGAAAATAATAAGCTTTGTTAGTTCATTTAGTTGAGCATCAAGACATTTTTCATCGAGCATTAAATCTCCCCTACTGAATATTAAAAGTGTGCAATTGAGTACCGATTGAGCATTCGTAAATATAAAATGAGCATTAGTAGGAAAATCATATGTTTTTTAGTTGAGCATCAAGACGTTTTATTGAGTATCAAATCTCCTCTGCTGAGTATTAAAAACATGCAATTGAATATCATAGTATGTGCTCTCATATATGATATATGTAATTAAATCCTACTTGAATCTAATGTAATATGCTACTTTTGAAATATGCATTGATATGACATTTTGATATGAGCATCATATCAGTATCAAATGAGCATACATATAATGCAGAAATAAATAAATAAAAACTAAATTAGAAGATTGATTGGAAAAAGAAGAAAAAACAAACTCAAACATTAACAAAAAAAAGTAAAAAGCAAGAAACTGAAAAGCGTGGAAAGTAAAGAGAAAACAAGAAAAACAAGAAAGTGGAGTAACTCAGTAAAGCCAAGTAGCGACAAAAAAACGGAAAACGGATGGAAAAGAAAGGAAGAGTGGCGGACTGGCGGCGGAAAAAGAAAAACAGCAGAAGCCTTCAGCCTAACCTTTATCCTAAGTTGGGAGTGTTTGCAATTGCTTCAACTTTAAAAAAGTGATTTTTTAAAGTGATTTGGGGAAAAGTGATTAATGGTAAAAGTTGATAGTGTTTGAGAAAAAAGTGATTCTGAAAAAGTAAAAGTTGGTAGTGTTTGGTAAAATAAGTACTTTTTGTGTAATAGAAAAAGTGAAAAGCAGTTTAAAGCACCCTTCCATCTGCTTCCAACTTTTAGCTTTTAAGTGATTAATTTAAGCAGAAGCTGTCATTTGAAAACACTCTTTTTAACTTTTTTTAAACCAAAAGTTGAAAAGTGCTTTTTAATCAATTGCAAACACTCCTTTAATTACAAAAAAAACTATCATGCTCTAGGTATTGTACGGTATATATTGGCCGTAGCTATAGGTCTGTAAGTAAGTGCTGCGATAGTGGGTGCATCAACCGATAGTGGGTGCATCAACGTTGTCCAATGAAAATTATGAATTATAAAATGTGGGTGGGTAGGAATGTAGGATAGTGAAAGGTAGTTATGGCAAATCAAGTAAAGTAAGTTGCCAAAAAGGAAAGCGTAAAGGAGTAAATGAAATGTTCCAAAAAAGAAAGTGTAAACATTTAAATCGGATTGAGAGAGTAGTGACTAGTAATAGTTTTTAAAAAACATTGGTAAATGTTGGGGGCAATAAAAAAGTATTTAAGATTACTAACTACAAAAAATAGTTGGGAGGGCCCATGGCCCCTGACAATCAAGCTACCTCTGCCCATGAACTTAGGTTAATGTAATAAATGTTGTTTAGATGAAAGTACTCTAGCTTATTTGATGTTGAACGAGAACATAACCTCCAAAATTCCCCACTTTGAAAGTTCTTCAATTTAAGGTGTTTTTAGGTTCTCGGGAGTTTGTACACACGTCCAGTTACCTGTGTACACATGCAGATTCTGAACGAGCTACCTGTATACACATGCAACTAGACGTGTGTACACAAAATGTGTACGAATTATGTGTACAAACAGTTTTTCCCTACTTATTATACACTTCCATTTTTATTTAATCATAGGTCCAAACACCTAAAATGATGGAGTAAAAAATACTCACTTCATGAAGAACTAGGGAGAAAGCATACTCTTGCATTTAAAAGGGAAATTACATCTCAAAGGTAAATTACATGGTTAATATCCAAAGAACTTTCAGCATACTATACGAATTAGAATATTGAAATAAAAAACGCTTTAACCAAACTAGCTTAATTATAATTTATAATACACACACTCACATAGCATGAGAAAATGAAACTTTACCAAACTATCATATAAAATCCAAACAAACACACTTTGAGTGTTGACAAGTTACGTACGTACTTATGCACTAAAGAAGTGCTGCGGTTAGGACTTGGCCCACCTGGCCTGGGAGTGGAACTGCCTCATAACCATAGAAAAAGTATACATCTAATTATTTGGTACCTTCCTTAACTCCCAAGCACTCTCTGGTCTCTACCCCTCCTCCCCCAAGACACACACAATTAAGGAAAAGAGAAGTTTGAATTGCTTTAGTCAGTTAGTTGCAAGCTGACTGATCTGTGAGTTACTTGAAATATCGCGCGAGCAAACAAGATAGATAGATAGATGAGGAAGGTGGTGTGGAGTGTCACGATGACGGTGGTTCTTGCAACAGCAGTGGTGGTTGCCGGAGGAGCAGATGAGCATCATGTGGTGGGAGGGGACAGAGGATGGGAAGTGTCAAATGACATTGCTTCTTGGTCATCTGGCAGAACCTTCACTGTTGGTGACTTTGTGTGTGAGTGTTTACTCTCCTCCACCCGAATATAAATTAGTCTATCTTTCACTAAAGCTTAGATTGTGTTCTTTCAAAGTATGGACTTAGCAGTTAATTGTGTGACTGTTGAACAGGGTTTACATACTCTGCAGCAGAAGAGAGTATCGTCGAGTTGGGAAGTTTGGAGGAGTACATTTCATGCGATCTGAGTAACCCCATCAGATTGTATACAGACGGCTTAGATCAAATCGCTCTGGAGGGAGAGGGGACTCGATACTTCACGAGTGGGAAATTGGAGAGCTGTAAAAATGGCCTCAAGTTACCGGTCACAGTCCGATCTCGAGAGAAGAGACACAGTCAAAGAGACGATGCAAATAGTTCTCCATTGCTCCTCCACGCAGACGGCCCGGCTGCACCATCTTCATCAACACGTTTGAATGGGCTCTTGCCGAGTTTGCTCATTGGTCTTTTTCTTCTTGCCATATGGTTCTAGCAAGTTTATATTTAAGATTTCAGAGTAACAATTTCAAAGTGTTCATCTCAACAATTTTAAAATTATTACCTCATTAAAAATAATGAACAATTTGATTCTTTTACTCGTTTCCGATAGTGGCAGTTGGTTATGCCAATAGCCAATGCACCGGGTCGTGTAATGAACCTTTTATTCTTATTGGTAAGCCTTCTTGGAGCATGGTACATTGATTGTCTGTAACTGGCGCTTTTATAGTATATCTTATTATTGACCTACTGTACCAATTCCGCAATTCACTAAAGCCAGTGTCGCGAACAAAAGTTCATTTTGAAACGGAATGATTTATCTATCACATAGCATAGTAAAATCTGAGGAATAATGACCAACATTCAGAGCAGGAAATATTTTCCCATTAGAAAAAACTTTTTCACTGATTATTTACACTAGGGGTGGGCAATTCGGTTTACGGTTCGGTTTTCTTCGGTTTCGGTTCGGTTTCGGTTTATTCGAGTTGGGAGAATTTGTACCAAATTAAAAACATTTGTGTTTCGGTTTGGTTCGATTTGAAGTTCGGTTTACCAAAGTAAAAAAATATTATGTTTAATTTAGTTTGATTTGATTCGTTTGATTATGTTTATTATTTTATTTAATCAAGTTCTATATTTTAAAATTAGAAAATGAAAGTAGTAGTCCATCTCATCTTTTTTTAATTTATTGATTATTTAAATAAAATGTAAAAAGAAATAAACGATAGAAAAATAAATCATTGTTTAGCATTTATAATATCACATAAAATATTCAAAAAAACCTAAAAGAGTCGGTGGTACAAATGTTGTAATATTCACAATTTTATTCAAATGAAGCAAGTAAAAAAATAAATGCAATTTGCTATTGTTATCGCCAAACATAATAAATACAAATATGTCGTATCAGCTAACTTTGTCATAATGAATGTATGAAATGTGTAAAATTTATAATGATACGAGTATATGCTTAAATATGTATTTTCATGTCTAAATTATTTATTTATATCTTAAAAATGAAGAGTGAAGATAAATACAAAGTATATATATGTTGTTCGGTGTTCGGTTTACGGTCTTTTCCGTTTTAAACCAAACAAAACCAAAGCACCAAACCATTCGGTTTGAGCAAATGTTTACCAAACGGTTTACTTAAGTATACCCAAACCAAACCAAATCAAACCACCAATTTTAATAATATATGAAAGTTTTTTTTGGGTTTCTTGAGTTCGATTCGGTTTTGTTCGGTTTTTATCAGTTTCGGTTCGGTTTAATACGCTTTGAAAGAAATAGTACCAAACTCAAACCAAATTGCATACGGTCCGGTTTCGGTATGGTTTAGTTCGGTTTGGTACGGTTCGGTTAAACCAAACCGTTATGCCCACCCCTATATTTTACGCAATTGTGGAATATGGCTTCTTGTATTCAGAACAGGGAGCCATTTTCGTGAACCAGATTTATTTCTAAATTTTTTAGGGTAATATGTATACATCAACTATTGAAATCATTTGAGACAACTTATTTTCCTGCAATCAAAAAGTTGATAACAAAGCAACATTCATTCTGTATGTTGAGATTTAAAGTTGCAATAACCAACTGAAATTTAAAAAAATGCAATGCATGTATAAAGTCAAAGTTAATTCCTTCTTTGTCCATTTCTTTACTCTCCATAATGTTTTTTTTTTACAAAAAACAAAGAGTACTTCATGCTTGACCCTCTTGCATCTTGCGCTAATATCATCAGTTGAGGTTGGAGAACTCATCAAGTGAAAACCACAACTCTGGCCTTACTGGTTAGTCCTGTCAGAAGGAGAAATGTAAAATAACCAATAAATAGCCCTTTGGTTCTGCAATTCAATGCAAACCTTTAAAACAAAACAAAAAATCACCTCTCTCGCAAGACTACATAATTAGCAGTTTCGGTCTTCTGTATCCTGGAGATTCTCCTCAATACAGCTGCGAAAGTGTTCTTGTCCTGATTCATCAATGTCACAAAATCCAATTTACAAAAGGCATAAAGCTTACAGTATCAAATAACAATCATAGGTGCCTCTGTTGGGCTCATCAAGTATCAACTTTTTGTTGAAGGTCCTTGACTATGACATTTATATCCTGTTTAGTCCTCGTACATTGTTTCATATTTGGTTCTACATAAAAGGATTATTTTAGTTTGTTCAACAATTTTAATCCCAACTTTCTACTCAGTTTGGAACTGAACTATGCAAACCAGATCCTCCAATTTAGACCTTTGTACTAAATTTCCCTTCCTAATTTCAGTGAAGTATGAGTGAGAAGTAAGACTGGGAAGCAGCAGTCCGTGCAATTTTCGAGCGACTTTCATCATGGTCATCCAGAAACAGTATCCGTGCTTTAGTACAGGGGTAAGGCTACGTACATCCGACCCCCTTACCCCACCGTTGGTGAGAGCCTTTGTGGCACTGGGGTAATCAAGTAATGCTGTTTTTTTTGTATGAGTGAGAAGTAAATTGAGTCAAATTGCTTAGTCGAGTCCAAAAAAAATTGCACTGCCAAAATGAGTAATAATGTATGATCAATGGACCGATTCAGGTACTAGCTATTTCTACAAATCCTTGCCTAGTGAGCTAGACTACGGCATACAGACTATTCTTTTTTAGAACTGTGGTCCAGATAGATGTTGTGTTTTAATAGATAAGAGCACAAAATGACAAACCTCTTTTGTTTTCAGTCGAGATTTAAATTGGTTGACAAGATCCTGAGTGGTAACTGGCCTTTGCTGCAGCAAAACAGCTCTAATTTCATCTTCAGTCACTGGTGTTGGAGCGGTTCTTGCAGGTGGCTGTGGGGTCAAAGATGATGATGATGTCAAACTGTTGGGGATGCTACTGTTATTAGCAGCAGGTGGAATAGCTTCTTCTTTCACTGGCTTCACTTCCTGGAACTCAAAATATAAAGGGGATCAACCGACTAAAATAATGAACACATGTTGTCCATAGCTGAGTACCCCACACCCACATAGAAAAACGACATAGCAATGACAGATTTCATTTCTATTAATTTATCTTTGGATTCTTTGCTATCAAAGAGTTGTTAGTTTGGTAAAATTATTTACAGATATCTTTATGCTTTGCATTTTTTTGATTGATTTAGAATTATTAACGCAATCCCTTTAAATAGGAAGCATTATGTAATTGAAGGGAACTTGGTATTGAATAATAAAAGTTCATACTTCATGGTAACCCCTTCAGTTGTCCAACAAGGCTGGGATCAGTTGTCTAGTAGATGTGAGCCTGACATATAAGTTTATTGCGCAATGGGGCTGGGATTGGGATGAAGGGTTCATAGGAGTGTAAGGTTAGCCTCGTATTTTTAAGGATCCTTTTTGTTTATTTAGGTGAAACTGACCTCTTTAAACAATAAAATTAAGAGCTCCAACATGTATAATATAGGTTGTATAATGAACAAAGGTAATCATACTGTTAATAATTGTGCTAATTTTGAAAATTGCCAACAAAACAACCAGAATTACTTTTTCTGGTTTTCCTAATAAAATTTCATTTAAAAAAAAAGAAAAAGAAAAAAAAGCAAAAAACTTAGTGAGCATAAGTGCATAACCTAAGTTATTAGGCATCCAACACCTTAATGTCAAGGCATACCGTTTCTGTTTTCGCTTTTTTTGAAGCAGCAACATTTGCAGATTTTGGTTCATCCACACTGGCTTTTCTTTTACCCTTCGTTGACTTCAAAGCTGATGAGCCTGCTCGAGTGGAACTCGAACCATGTGGCTTCCCTGGACTGCTGGTCTCAGCTTGATCCTCTTTTGGAGTTACTTTCAGCTTTGGAGCCAATACAGGTGATGAGAAATCATCTTCCTATAATAATCATTTCCCGCCCAGGGAGGAAGAGACAAAGAAAGGAAGTGAGAACTTTCAAGTGGAAGAATACACTGCAATTATAAAAATGAGATGTGTGTGCGCGCGTGCACGTCCCTATACTTTTGCATGTACATGTGGGTGGGTGTATATGATAGGAATCTGGGCCACCAGCCCATCCGGTATTTTAATAAGGTTTATCAAAGGAGAAATAAGGGGCTAAGGGGGGTAAAATAGAGATTGATCTATCCAGGTGGTCCCTGCGTGGACAGTTACTATATATAGTATGGTGAGGTAGCTAATAAAGGCTAGGTTATGATTTATCTGAATGATTGCCTTGTTGCCTAAGTCCCGGTTACCCTTGTTGCCTACGGTTTACCTATTCCTATAATAAACATTACTTCCCTATCAACTCTATCAGATCTACTCTTGCTTATTTACTGTTAGTACTCAGATTATCGCCAGATTATTGCCAGGTACCTATCATTTGGTATCAGAGCATCACCGTTCCTGGAGATCGGACCTGGAGATCGTCTTCAACCAAGCTGTCGTCTAGAGGTGGATGGTCAAAACCAGATCTAGAATGGAACATCGAGTGGATTCGTTGGAACAAGAGATGAAGAACGTTGTGGCTACTCTCACAGCCTCTATGGCTTCGATGAATGAACAGTTCCAGAGCAATCTCGCGGCTTCGATGGCTGCGATGTCTGAGCAGATCCAAAATCTTCGCGATCAGCATAGGGGAAGATCGCGATCACCCCACCTCTACCGATCTAGGTCACCGCACAGCCCTCCACAATCCAGAGGTAATTCCGTTCATTCCCCAGCTCCCACTCGTAGAGTTCATACTGGCCGGAAGGTGGATTTGCCATTGTTTAATGGAGTTGGTGCCTATAACTGGTTAGTAAGAATGGAGCGTTATTTTAGATTGAATAAAACAGAGGAGGAAGACAAGGTGGAGGTTTCAATGGTGGCTATGGATGATAGGGCCTTGAATTGGTTTCAGTGGTGGGAACAACAGGCAGAGGAGATGACCTGGGAAAACCTGAAGGACGCTGTTATCCGGAGGTTCCAACCTGACTTATTACAAAACCCCTATGGACCCATGTTGAGCCTGAAACAAACTGGAACTGTGGAAGACTATAGGGATGAGTTTGAGATGGTAATCGCCCCACAGAAAAACATGGACCGAGGGATGCTACGAGGCATATTTATCAATGGTCTCAAGGCGGAAATTAAAGCTGAATTGAAGCTTTACCATACCAGATCTCTGGCTGCTGTCATGGATAGGGCAGTGTTGATTGAACAGAGAAATGATGCAGTTTATGACAAAGGAAAAAGGGCAGAGAAAACAGATGGGAAGGACAAAGGGCACCTGCCTTACAGACAGCCATCTTGGGGAGAGGGTTATAAGGCAAAATTTGGAAATTCTGGATCCCAGGCTAATAGCAGGAACATGGCAGACTCCCGGACTAATCCAGCCTGGTTCAATCCCATGGGGAAGAAGACTAATGAGATCAATACTTCCAGTATAAAGCGGGTGGGACCCCAACTCTCTCAAGATGAATACCAAGATAGGAGTAGAAGAGGATTGTGTTTCAAGTGTGGGGAAAGATGGAGCAAGGAACACACCTGCAAACTAAAAAACTACAAACTGATATTGGTAGAAGACTCGGATGAAGAAGAGAGATTAGAAGAGGCAGAAAGGGACAATTCAGAGGAAGAGGAAATAGTGATGGAAGCTAAATCTATGCAGCTTTCGTTAATGAGCAAGGAGGGGATCCCTTCTATGAGGGCTTTCAAGGTCAGGGGTGTTATAAAAGGAGCATGGGGAGAGGTCTCATTGGAGGTGTTGATTGATAGTGGGGCTACCCACAACTTCATAGCCCAAAGAGTGGTGGACCATTGGAAGATACCCTACAATACTATCTCTGGGTATAGGGTGCAAATTGGGAATGGGGACAAGCTTTTAAATAATAGAAGGTGTGAAAATCTGGAACTAAGCATGCAGGACACCAAGATTCAGCAGGATTTCTACATCCTGGAGCTAGGGGGCACTGACATGGTGTTGGGAATGGAATGGTTGACCACTTTAGGTGATGTGGAGGTCAATTTCCAAAAGCAAACCATAAAATGGAGGGAACTGGGAGACATGCAGCAGATACAGGGGGATCCACAATTAAACTCTTCTGAAGTCTCTTTGAAAACCTTGGTTCAGATATTAGAAGATGCAAGAGATGGATATTTGGTTTACTGTGAAGGGCAGGCTGAGGAAATTGAAGAAGAAAGTGGAGAAGATCAAATCTGGCAACAAATTATAGCTGAATTTCCTGAAGTTTCCAAACCTTTTAAGGGACTGCCACCCAGAAGAAGTTGTGATCATGCTATACATATTCAGGAGGGAGCCAACATCCCTAATATCCGACCATACAGGTATCCTCAATATCAGAAGACAGAGATTGAGAGAATCATCAAAGACATGCTAAATGAAGGTATCATACAACCCAGCAATAGCCCTTACAGCAGCCCTATTCTATTAGCAAGAAAAAAAGATGGGGGTTGGAGACTTTGTGGTGATTACAGGGCTCTGAATAAAATCACAGTACCTGACAAGTTTCCCATACCCATAATTGAAGAGCTTTTGGATGAACTGGGAGGAGCAGTGATATTTTCCAAGTTGGACCTAAAATCTGGTTATCACCAGATTAGAATGAGAAAAGAAGACATGCAGAAAACCGCATTCCGAACTCATGAAGGACACTATGAGTACCTGGTTATGCCTTTTGGCCTTACAAACGCACCGTCTACATTCCAGGCTTTGATGAACCAGGTTTTGAGACCTTATTTGAGAAAATTTGCCTTGGTGTTCTTTGATGACATCCTCATTTACAGCAAATCAGAAGCAGCACATCAAGAACATTTAAGGAAGGTACTCCAGACTCTGCAAGATAACCAGCTGGTGATAAATCCAAAAAAATGTTCATTTGGGAAAGCTCAGATAGGCTATTTGGGCCATATTATATCAGGCGAAGGGGTTGCTGCAGATCCATCCAAGATAGAAGCAATGGTGCAATGGCCAGAGCCCAAAGATCAGAAGGGGCTCAGGGGATTTTTGGGAATCACTGGTTATTATAGAAGATTTGTGCAAGGGTATAGTCACATTGCTTTACCTTTGACTCAACTTCTTAAGAAAGACTGTTTCCATTGGGGGCCTTCTGCAACTTTAGCTTTTGAGGAATTAAAGAGAAAGATGACCACACTACCTGTATTGGCTACACCCGATTTCAATAAAAAGTTCGTAGTAGAGACTGATGCCTCCGGGACTGGACTGGGAGCTGTACTGATGCAAGAGGGGAAACCAATTGCGTACATGAGCAAAGAATTATCAAAAAGGAACCAAAACAAGTCAGTTTATGAGAGGGAACTGATGGCCATTGTTTTGGCAGTCCAAAAATGGAGGCCCTATCTGTTAGGAAGAGTTTTTGAGATCCACACTGATCAGAGGAGTTTGAGATTCCTGACTGAACAAAGGCTTTTGGGCGAAGAGCAGCAAAAATGGACTTCCAAGCTTATGGGGTACAACTTTGTTATCAAATACAAACCTGGGGTGGAAAATAGAGCTGCAGATTCTCTCTCCAGGAGACCTTACCTACAATCACTATCCATTATCACTTGTCAAGAATGGGAAGGACTGGAGCAAGAACTGAAAGAAGACCACAAGTGCCATGCCCTTCTGCAGAATGTAATATCTAAACCAGATCAATACAAGGAATTTCAAATTATCAAGGGATTTTTATACTACAAGGGGAGGTTAGTATTACCCAGCACATCCCCTAGAGTCAGAAAAGTCCTAAATGAATATCATGATTCTGCTCTTGGAGGTCACTCAGGATATTTCAGGACAATGAAGAGAATCACTAACCTATTCTATTGGCATGGGATGAGGGGGGACATCAAAAAGTATGTGGAAGAATGTGCCATTTGTCAGACCAACAAATATCAGGCTTTAAAGCCAGCAGGTTTACTACAACCTCTGCCCATTCCCCAGAATGTTTGGTCTGAAATCAGCAGGGATTTCATTGGCGGCCTCCCTAAATCGCAAGGGAAAGATACCATACTGGTAATTGTGGATAGATTGACCAAATCAGCTCACTTTCTGGCCATATCCCATCCTTTTAATGCAAAAGAAATAGCTGAGCTATTCACCAGGGAGGTCGTGAAGCTGCATGGGTTCCCCAAGTCAATAGTAAGTGACAGAGACAACATTTTTATGAGCAATTTTTGGTCTGAACTTTTCAGGCTGTCTGGAACACAACTGAAATATAGCACCGCTTACCACCCTCAGACAGACGGGCAAACTGAGGTGGTAAACAGGTGCTTAGAAACCTATCTCAGATGTCTGACAGGGAAGAAACCAAAACAGTGGGTTAAATGGTTGAGCTGGGCAGAGTTCTGGTACAACACCAACTACCATACTTCATTAAAGATGACACCATACAAAGCTTTGTATGGACAGGACCCACCTCCAATAATCAGGGGAGACACTAGTTTGACAGCAGTAGAAGAGGTGGCCCAACTGACAGCTCAGAGAAATGAGATGCTTCATGAATTGAAAGACAATCTAGCAAAAGCCCAGAACCAGATGCGACAACAAGCTGATAGGCACAGGAGGGAGGTGTCATTGGAAGTAGGGGACAAGGTATATTTGAAGATTCAGCCATATAAAATGAGGAGTCTAGCCAGAAGACTCAACCAGAAATTAAGCCCTCGTTTTTATGGCCCATTTGAGGTGATTGAGAAGCTGAGCTCTGTAGCTTTTAAACTAAAACTACCTGAGGACAGCAAGGTGCACCCAGTCTTCCACATATCACTATTAAAGAAAGCTATATCCCCCACTACTCACTTTCAGCCATTACCCTCCTGCCTTAATGAAGAATGGGAGCTCCTGGTATATCCAGAAGAAGTGTTAGACTCCAGAATGAACAAAGAGGGGAAGATAGAGGTCCTAGTTCACTGGAAGAACATGCCTGCATTCGAAGATTCATGGGAATTGCTGCAGCCTTTAACAGATAATTTTCCTGAGCTTCACCTTGGGGACAAGGTAAATTTTCAGGGGGGGAGTAATGATAGGAATCTGGGCCACCAGCCCATCCGGTATTTTAATAAGGTTTATCAAAGGAGAAATAAGGGGCTAAGGGGGGTAAAATAGAGATTGATCTATCCAGGTGGTCCCTGCGTGGACAGTTACTATATATAGTATGGTGAGGTAGCTAATAAAGGCTAGGTTATGATTTATCTGAATGATTGCCTTGTTGCCTAAGTCCCGGTTACCCTTGTTGCCTACGGTTTACCTATTCCTATAATAAACATTACTTCCCTATCAACTCTATCAGATCTACTCTTGCTTATTTACTGTTAGTACTCAGATTATCGCCAGATTATTGCCAGGTACCTATCAGTATATATATATACATGTGTTTACAATGTATTTACAATGTATATATAAGTATATATTAATGCATATAATGTAACATATATGAACTCTAAGGTTACCTCATCATCGTCATCATCATCCTCTGGATCTGATTCATTCATCCCATTAGCTTTTCCTAGAATTTTCTTCAACTCTTTACCTGATTCGCTCAAACCCCCTCCTCCTTCCCCATCAGCTTCATCCTCATCCTCATCATCCTGAAACAAGAATAAAGGTGATATTCCTATGTCTCCAAAGCATATTGTAATTAAAAGATTAAAAAAGGATTTAAGCAATGGAAGAGCTGTTGTTTACATGTAAAAACTCACACCTTTAATTATTCAATCACAAGTCACAACTACCCACAATTGGTGTGCAAACATGTAATCGTTCGACTGCTGCTTAATTCTTTTGGTAGTTATTTGATCATTTTTGCTTTTCATGTATTCCTGGTTATTTTGTATTGCCTCCTTTGGACAATTAATTTTTCATTTTTTGATTATTATATTATCAAAGTTACGGGTTCAAGTCTTGGGAGCGGCCTCTTGTTAAAATGAGAAGGGAAGGCTTGACCCTTGTACACCCTTGTGGTGGGACCCTTCTCCGAAACCCTCCCCTTACGGGAACGCCAATGTGCACTGGGCTGCCCTTTTGTGTATATGATTATTACAGACAAAGCACTTGTTTGCACTGGGCTGCCCTTTTATTATCAGAGTTATAGTGGAATGAAACTTATAGTGTCAACTGATATAATTCAGTTCACTATTTTTTTAATTATTGTTACTACAATATATTTTGTATCATTAAAGCATAAACATCACCATAAAAATTTCACCACAAATAGCAGAACATGATCATGACTTCTTTTGCATTCGTGATTACAAAATATAGTAATAATACGGAGTAACAAAGTCAAAGCATGATACAGAGTGGTGGTATGGTATTGTAATTCCTGATTCAAAATTTCAGCTCATAAACTTTTAGCATGAATAAAAAAAATCAATGAAGCAAAAATCATATATTACCAAAGCTCTCACGAAAAACAATATTATGTGTTCCATATCAGAGTTATTTATGAAATGCATCAGCCTAGGCCCAAGCACATTGAACTGTTAAAAACTTAAAGCTTAAAGACGTAACACCTTTATAAGCACCCTCTTCTAGACCTTAGCAAGTTGGAGGAATTCAGAGAGAAGCGGAAGAAAGTGGGGTAGTGTTGTTTTCTGGTTGAGGGTTTCAGTGGAGCAGGGGGGGGGGGGTATGAACTCCTTCAAGCTTGTACTCCCCTGATTTGGCGTATTCTGGAGGAGTGATCATTCTTGTTAATTTCATTTCATCTTTCTTATCATCAAAGTTGTTCTAAATCATTATTATGTTTACATAGATATCATATAGTTACAACAAAAACCATATCATATGAATTCATTTTCTATAAACAATTATTCCTCTCCACTCTTCAATTTAACCAACCATAACACCTTTTCATGCTCATCCACTTTCCACCCCTCTCCATATCTCCATTTCTCCTCCCATCCCATCCTTTGAACCAAACAAGGTGTTAATTCTCATCAACTTCAGTATCATAAAAATCTCGAGGTCAAATTTGCACAACAAACCTGCTTAATTTCCGGAGGAACGGGGATTTCAGGAGCCAAATCTTCCCTTTCCTCCGGATCATTTCCAGGAGCTTCATCATCATCTGTGAAAATTTCTTCATGCTCCCAATCATCACCTGTGAAAGGATGTAAAGAAATAAAGACTTCATGCCATGAAGCTAAGAATCAAATCAAAGTTCCCTTTGGAGTGGTAAAAAGTAACCTCATGAATAAAGGAATAAAAAACTTTAAGCAATTGCATAAATTTAATGTTCTTAAAAAATTAGTGTGTAGGGAAAAATACACAAAGAATGTACAGTAGTAAATCCAAAATAACCTCATGTTCAATGAGATTGAGGGACATATAAATGGAGGGAATATATAGGGTAGTATACTAGATTTATTATGATGCACAATAACTAAGATGATAAATGGACAAATATATCATTTGAAACTGTTAAATCATAGAACGTAAAGATCTAGTTTAGAAACCTTAGGGTATGTTTGGGAGGTTTGGAAAGTAGTTTTTTTTCATTTTCATAATACACTGCTTTAACATGTTAGAGAATATAAAAGGCAGGGGTTATTTTTCATATAAATTTTAGAAATTATCAAGCTGAGACTTGGAGTGTATCTAAATAAAACCGTACTAGTACTTAATTAACAGAAACAACTCAAACAAGATGTCAACCTTTTTCAATATCATCATCATCCAGATCAAGATCACCACCTCTGGGTCCCTCTTCATCATCATCACCCCCTTTTTTGTTGAGTCCTGATCTACGTTTCCTAGCTGCCTCCTCTTCTTCATCTTCTTCTCCTTGGTCTGACGCATTGCCCTCCTCATCATCACCAGATTTTCTCCTTGCCCTCCCACCACCAGCTCCACTTTCCTTGTCATCAAATTTTCCAGCTTCTCCAAAGGCAGCAGGTCCATTACTTGCTGCTTTCATCATCCATCTTTGGTAACCATCAGCAGTTTTCCTTCTGTTATTCATCTTTTCTTCTGCTTCTTCCAAAGTAAGCTGCTTGTACTGTGCAACTTTGTTGAAGTTGTACCTGAGATCATCAACAAGTTAGTAATAGTAATAATAATAGTAATAGTAGTAATAATAATAGTAACATAAAACATATGCACACGTCAGTTAGTTATAAGAGCCATCTATACAAAATAAGAAATTGATGGCATAACAGCAAACATTAATTGATTAACTAGGTACCAGGAACCAGCAGGAATGGCAACAAATTCTCTACCCTGCAACATTAGTAGGTAGTAGGTTGCTGATTGTGCACCCTCAGGATGACCATGGAACTGAGACTGACCTGATTCATCCTCCAATAACCAGGGTCTATTCTTAAACTTCTCCTGCAACATGCAATCACTTGACGGTAAAACTATAAAGTTTAGAATGAAAGATACAGGCCGTGAAAACCTGCAATCACAGGGGAAAAATTGAAAGATGTGCACTTCTTAAAACAGGGTCGCTATTAGCTTGACCAACCAAACCCTGATGAGCTAAAATACTTGATGGTCGAAAGAAGCGACATGATTGCTTAAGGTATCTAGTTCTTTACTATCCAAGTGCTTCTAGATATACTGCAATGACTTTTCACATCCAACTGGCCAACCACAAAAGTATAGCTGTAAAAGAGCGAAACTCTTCTGCAGCTCTGCTTGGTGGCTAAATATATTCAGTACATTACAAGTAATGATTAATCATTTTTACTTTATTGCATAAACTTCATGCAAATGATCAAGCCTTTTGATCTAGAGCTATCATAACTATTAAGATTATTAGATGGCATGGATTTGCCAACCTCATCCTTAAATGAATAAATAATGTTTGAGTACCAAAGTTCAGCTTCCAGTGCCGATGAGAAGTGAATAGGTACTTTAAAAAATATGTCGGAAAATAGCTACATGTACTGTCCATCTCAACGATGACTTGCTAACATGCACGAAACAGCTACCACCTACATGAATTCCATTGCTTTTATTTATTCGAGGATATTCTGAACATATCTTAAACCCTTGAGCACTGGTATCATCCTTTTTAATAACTTAATTTAACTATGTTTCACCTCTTTGCCGCCTTCTTCCCTTGACCCTATAATCTCTCTCCTATAAGGACCATAATATATAAATATTTATAATATGTACAACCATATGCCTACATTGATTAACTCGAAATCATCTCCATCGGCTTCAAAATCAACTCACTTGGATAGTTGTGTAAGGAACAAATTAACAATCAATAACATAATTTATACTCCCTCCGTCCCAATATAAAAGGCGCATTTGCGTTTGGGGAGTTTTTAAGGGTGAACACTGTTTGAACACTGTTTGACACTGTTT